TATGCTGCTTAAGTGTATCTAAAGGTGTTAAATTTACAGTTCTTATTAAAATAATGGCAATTATTAAATGAATAATATGCGTTTTCTTACAAAGAATGGAATTATTCCACTTTCTATTATTATATAAAGAATTAATTTAAATATCTCGAAAAAAAAAACAAAAGATATACATATTATATGATTTAAACCATTTTCATAATTATGATCATATAATATATCTTCGATTAAAAAAATTCTAATTGATATTTCGAGAGGGGGAGGAAAAAAGTCTCCCTCCCCCTCCCTCCCACCCTCCTGCCACTTACCATCCCATCGAAAAAATAATTTAATTCGAATGTTTTCTACCGACTAATTGCAAAAGATATGATTATATTTCGATAAAAGAAAAAAATAATAAATTATATCAGAGAGAAAAAGAGTATATATACGGAAGAGTAAGTAATAAGTATCACCACCCTAAGCTCATTGAAACGCTTCCTCGCTATCGGCCGGTAATATTTTTGCCTCACCCTAACCGGATGAAGGCAACCCACTCGGTGCTAAATGAACCATTACGTTGCCAGTATTACCGTGTGCGTAGCTTGCGCTTCCTACCAAAGATCCGGAGAGCACCCTTATACAGAACGGTATTTAATTCCGCTAAATACACCGCGATAATATTTTCTGTTTCGCTTGGTCGCACTTCCTGTTGTATAAGGGGAGTTAAAGTAAGAAAGAAAGAGAGAAAGAGAGAAAGAGAGAGAGAGAGAACATGTGTTATTATGTTCCGTATAATATATCATACTTTCGAGTTTTATCAATTATTGATAGATACTTTTCGATAATAATGATAATAATAATATTATATTTAATCAAATATATTTTTGTCAAAAAAGATAAATTGATTATTCGTATTGTTAAATCATCGTGTTTTTAGTATTCTTTTATTTTGAGAAATTATTTTCATTTCTTATGTGAATACGAAATGTTGTTTTGTTTTAAGAATGCAATAAACTTTCGTTTACAATTAATGGGTGCTGCATATTAAGAAATGAAATTTACCAAGTTTGATAATAATCAGAGATATTTTTCTAAACGAAATCTGTAAAAGGGTTGTTCGCTGTTCATTTTTGATATCATTTATTCGTACTACGGTCACAATTCATTAGAGAAAAACGTTTGTTCCTTTTTTAATTAAAACAAAAAATATGTATAAATTCTCTCCTCTTTTGTTTTACATTATTCTTTCTTTTTACTCTTTTTCAATTATATTAATGAATATTGAATTAAAATATAATATCACAGTATATTAAATAATCCTTATAAAACGATTTGGTTAGATATCCAATAAAAAAAATTTTTTATCTCGGAACAAAATATAATAAAAGATAAAATCGTAAGGACGAAAAGAAAATTAAAAAAAAAAGAAGAAAGCAAAGAAATAATAAGGATTTCTCCTAACATCCTCCTACCCCTCCCCTCACCGTCCCCCGTTAATATCATTTTCCTTTTCATGATATTTCAAAATGATATTATTCTTGTAGGAAGAAGCATCATCGTCATATTGAGAATGTAAATGGTCGTTTCGCGCGGCCGTGCGTCCTTAATGCGAGCTTAAATTTCTTCTTATTCTCCTTCAGAAGGAAAAAGAGAAAAAGAGAGATAGAAAGAAAAAGAAAAAGAAAAAGTAGTAATGGAGGAGAGAATAAAGTTGGAAGAAAAGCAACGTGTCGTTTGTTCGGCCTCGTTACTTGACTCGTAATGAACAGACCAGATTTACATAATAGGGTTATTTGTAGGTGGAGTGCGCATAAGAGTAAAAGAAAAAGAGATAGAAAGAGACTGTAACCTACCGGATGCGGAATAGAGAAAAGCAGAGAGGGGTAGGGGTGAGGGGTTTAGAATAGGAATAGGACTGGAAAAGGTGTTACACTTCCTTCGTGCACACCCGTTGTGTCGTAGTCGTCATACACTTGCAAGAAATGCAGAATTTAAATGTCATCCGTGAAATATAACCGACAAACGGCTGAGTTACGAAGTGTTATATACGTTTGTAGACGCACATGTTATCTTATTTTTACATATATAGGGTGTTTCAAAAAGATTTAGGCATTATTTTGAAGAGTAATTTCGGTAGACTAAAATGAAAATTTGAAACAAAATAATGTATGTATTATTATATGTATAAAAATCATTATAAATGCACATTGGTAGTTTGAGCGTCGATTAATTTATAAAATTAACTTAAGTTATTATAATTAAGACAATTGTCGGTAAATTCTAACAGTATATGATATTTTGAAATAAATGAAAAGATCTATGATAAAACGTTTGTAAACGAAAAATTGGTTACATTGAATTGTTTCGTTGAACTATTATGATAATAACGTGTAAAATATCATGTAATATTAAAACGATTATTATTTGGAAACAAAGTCACGTCGAGCTTATGATTATATGAACTTCGTTTCTTATTTTAGTATACTCAAACTACCTGTGAAATTGTGCTAACATATTTTGATATATCCTGTGTATAGATACATCTTTTAAGCATAGTTAATCTATGCAAGGGTATGTAATATTTTTACATAGACGTATATTAGAAATATATTATACAATAAATGAGATGTGTGTTAACAAAATTTAACACGCCAAGAGTATTATCAATAATCCGCCGACAATATTTAATATCGCGATATTAACAATATAAACTTCCATCGTACTTATTTTTCTTCTTTGTCCTTTCAATCGTATTCCTTTTTTTCTCCATTTTATATTTCATCGTTTATAACATTTTTTACGTTTCTTGTTTAATTAGTCTCTCCGTTTATATTAGTAAATATTTAAAATATTTAAAATATCCATCCGCGTGTTATTTGAAACCGTATCGAGAAATAGTAACTGTAACATATAAAACGTAACTGCAAACCATGTATCGTGTAACTGTAAACTGTTGCTGAGTATTTTGGCAAACATTGTTAAACTTCAAGACACCAAAACTCGATGAAATATTGATGAAAGTGTACACCGTTGATGCACGTAGTAGATATACATTGATATGTTTTACAACTATCGTTAGATTTACAATATTGATTTTTCATTTATCAAAATTGTTTACAATTACGAATGTTGATACCGTGCACTGTATTGTACGATATATTTTTTTGCGAAGAAGCCTGTAACGCGTATTATATTTTCTCTCTCTCTCTTTATCTCTATCTTTTTCTCATACAACTTAACAAGTTTTATTTGAAACATTTTTATTTATAAGACCTAATAGGATTGGAAATTAAAGCTCGTGTGTCGTTAAAAATGAGATATCCGATGTAATAATACGGATAGATATTTCGATTTATATTTAGGAAAAAATCGATCCCACCGACCACTCTGCTAATTATTCTACCAGCGAATTATTTAGCGATAAAATTTCCACCCTCTCGTAAAAGAGGACCGAGACCGCGGCAATTTCACATTAAAGAACGATAATGACGATAACGAATCCGCATTAGCGTGTAACGAACTTTACCAATCCCGATGGCCCCTCTCCATACTATTCCTGCTGCTGCATGGCCGATCGTAATTTTCCGATCGAAACCGATTGGAAAATCGACAAAAAAAGAAACAGAAAAATATCAAATACCGAGTACCATGAATGATTCTTCACCGCAATAATGAGTCTCAAAGTATTACGATATAATATTCAATATAATAATAATAATAAAAATAATATTATTATCATCATTATTATTATTATTATTATTATTATTATACATAATTATTTGTCGTTTGATTTAGTATTATTGAATATTAATTCGTTTTAAGAGGCAGACAATGCTATAAAATTTTCTCGATGATAATAATGATGATGTTGTTTAATTAACAATTTTTTTTTTTCCTTTTTATCATTACAAATCCATCGTAACCGCAGCTCGGAAAAATACTTTCTTTTTTTTTTATTTTTCGATAAACTGAAATTTCTTTGGCAAGCAACGTGTACTTTTGTCTCGACGAAGTACAATGTGTAACGAAAAAAAAAAAAAAAGAAAAGACAAAAAAGATAAATATAACGATCGTTAAAAACGATCATAGACACACACATTTTGGCATTACGAATAATTTTCTCTTGAAAAATCTCAGGGAAAGTTATAATAAAAAAAAAGAGACACGAGAGCAGTTATAACTGGTGAAAAATTAATAACCGACTCGAGTTATCCGAGCGAAAAACGTCGGTCGATCTGTACTTGCTCGTTCGTGGATAAATATCGAGAGAGAAATTGGTCTCTCTCTCTCTCTCTCTCTTTTTCTTTATCTCTCATTTTTTGTTAATTATTTTACAATTAAATCCAGCTTCATTGATGTTGAAACGTTGTTTATCTCTTTTTCTTTTCAATTTCTTTTTTCAAGCAAGATCAGTTTAATATTGACGATTAAATTATTTTCGATGGAAATAAATTAATCGATGATATACGTATAAATTTAATACCCGTTTATTTTTTTTATAAATTTATTGTTATTGTATTACACCCAACAACGAGTGAGACTCGTGATAAGAAATTTCATCTAAAAAGTAATAAATACGAGCTTGACTAATGGTTCAATTGTTCTCGATATTTTCTGTACCTTAAAAGAATGAAAAAACCCTTATACCTATCGTGTTAGTAAACAAAAAAATCTGTGAACATGCTTAACAATTGCAATCGTTGAATATAACTGGACGATTTGATTCCTGATGTGAATTACTTTGATAAAATAAAATAAAATAAAAGAATTTCGAGCATAGATGGATAGAAAAAATAGATAAGCGCATATATGCGTCCTTAATCCACTGATTATTTTCGTTGGACGCATATATGCGTCCATACCATTCAAACGGGTCAACAACGATAATAGTTTTTTAATAGCTCGAGTAATCAGAAATTAACGGATAAGAGTATATGACGAGGTGTTAAAAGATTAAAGTATAATAATAAAAGGGTTTAATTGTTATATAAATAATATTTTGTTAATGGATTAGAGCTTACCAGCAAAATACGCGAGCATGGCAGTTAGTGCTACGGCGAGTAGTATCAAGGCGATTGAAAAACATTTCCAAGAGCATCTGTGTTGACAACGTTTGTCGATGTGAAAACGTGATGGCGAATAAGGTGAGTAATGGGGTACTGCCGCGGCTCTAAGGGGAAAGCCTGGCATAACCATCGCTTGATTTTGTGCTGCGACAGTTCCTGTACCGCCATTACCTGCCCCACTTCCTAATCCACCTCCCAAGGAACCTACGGTCACCTGCTGTTGCGGTGGTGGAAGTCTGTAACATAGAAAATAAATTTTCTATTGTAAAAATAATAATAATGAAATATAGAAGAAAAAAATAAAAGACATAATAAATTTTGCACAATAACAAAAATTACAATTTTATTATTATTAATAATATAATATTATTATTTTGTATATTATATATGTGTTATACATATAAGAAGAAATTTAGAGATTATCGAATTAGTTGTGGAAATGTATTTAATTGCAATATTATACTATAATTAATTAATTAAACGTATTTAGTTTAAATACGAATATATACGCTATCGATTTAATTATTACTATTTACCTATATATATATAGAGAAAATGATTATAATGATTATGCCGATGATAACGATGATGATGATGATGATGATGATGATATACCACTTTTCCATTATATCCAATTAAATATTTATCTTTTATATATATATATACTGTAGAGCTTATAATATTGTTCTATAATTCTTCAAAATATCACGTTTATATAGTATAGGATCTATTAATTTGATGTGATTGAGATTAGCCTTTGAATATCAAATTTTTCGATAATCGAGGTGTTTTCAAAGAACACCAGACGAAGATAGAGGGAAAAAAGAGAAAAAGAGAGAGAGAGAAAACGAGAACGAAGGGCGGGGGGGGGAGTACATCGTTGTATCACGATTTCGCTCTCGGGGCTTTAGGAGAGATAACGTGAAGCTTATAAAAGATGCAGATACGGTTATTAACTCTGACAGGATCGGAGCGTAGGTACTTATACATACATACATACATACATACATACATACATATATATACATATATACATATATGTATGTATTTAGATCTCTCTCTCTCTCTCCCTCTCACTCTCTCTCTCACTCTTATCTTTGTGTATATTGGCGTTGACTCGAGGGATTTTACGAAGAGTAAGGGAGGATGCTGCTTTTCGTGCTAGGAGTCTAAGGCTCACCCGTCGAACCTATGTCACGGATTTTATTTTCATCCTCGTCATCGATATTTATCTTTGTCCCTTTTTCTTTTTCTTCTTCATCTTCATCTTTTTTTTTTCTTCTTTGGTACGATGTTAAAGGACATCTACGAGAGAAACTAGCTAGCTCTCTTTCTTCCATCAAGAAAAGAAAGAAAATGAACGGATAAGCACGATTGGTAGGGTAAGGTAGGGTGGGGTGGGGTGGGGTGGGGTAGGGTAGGTATACGTATATAGTTAGATATCCTCGAAAAGCGTCTCGTGAAAAGGGACAACGTCGAAACAGGGATTTAATGCGGTACCAGGATAAATATAGTTTTCCGATAATCACGTGGACTCATGAATAGCATTAACTTCGGTTATAGGGATAGAAAGAGACAGAGATACATAATGCATCACGCATTCTCCACCTCCTCCTCCTACTTTTTTCTATTTTATTTGTCCTCCTTTTTCTAGATTTTGTCCTGAAATCCTATAAGAATAACGTTCCTAGTGACAGTGATCCGGTGATGCGGATAAAAACTGGGAATGTGAATATTGTATAAAGATGTAGAGGAAGTGAAAGAGAGAGAGAGAGAGAGAGAGAGGGGGAGAAACAGAGTAGGGAACATTCACTGGACGTTTGGTATGGGCCAAACCAAACTAGAACACGAACCTCACAATAGCTTGGCATTATATTATCCTACTTTCCGGATAAGTAAACAGGGAGATCGATCAACTGATCAATTTGATATTATCTCTCTTTATCTCTCTTTCTCTTTTTCCTTTGTCATATATCCACGAAACTTTAGAATATATTTATGAGACGTTTAATTTCAATAAATTAAATCCTCTAAAGGATATCTTAACGTTGATCGATATAAACGAGACACGTCAAATGGATGATCGAGATTTAAAGAAATTTATTTGAATAATTCGAACGTCCTGATGCTTAATGGAAAAACACATACACGCGTATACATTCAAAAGCACACGTATATAGATATAAAAAAAGGAACAATTTTCTTTGATGAGGAAAAAGAAAATCTGTTAATCGGTTTTAACTCGTCAAATTTAGTTTAAAAGGGAAATCGAAACGTTACAATTTCTCGTAAATCAAATTTTATCGTTAAAGAATATATATATATAAAGAAATAAAAAAAAAGCACAGTGTTTTTCCAGTCGCGGCGACACTTCTCACGCGTTACAGTAAATAACTTCCTTTCATTCCCAGTTCGTAAAGTTTGTCGACGAGGGGGAAGAAGGGAAGAGATTTCAAAAGGAGGGGGTGGGGGAGTTAGTTGGGTGGCTTTAGGTTGGGAGGTAAAACCTTGCCGTCGGCAATGTTCGTTCCTCAAAGTATCATTAAAACGTCTCGCGTGCCTGGCGTAACGCATAAGTTGGTTAACAGCTACCGACAAATACCATAAATAATCGAGCTTAGGCTATGGTGGAGAGGAAGGTTTCGCCTTCACGATCCTATAAACGTCCGCTCATATTTCCCAACGGCAGGAAGCAATCAGACGCGACGTTAAAAAGAAGAAAAAGAAAACGAAGAAAAAGAAAAAGAAAGAAAGAGATAGATAGATAGACAGACGGTATGAGTGAGTAAGAGAACATAAAGAGAAACAGAGATAGAGAGAAAGATCACTGGCAAAAGTCCCGCCGAGTCTTTCTTACTCGTGCGTGCAGCCAGACCTAAGCAAGAAAACGAGAAAACAGAGAGAGAGAGAGAGAGAGAGAGAGAGAGAGAGAGTATGTGTGTGTGTGTGTGTGTGTGAGAGAGAGAGAGAGTGAATAAGGAGGAGATGCAATAAATATTGCTTTTTCTTCGGGATCATTAAGTTGAGAGAACGGAACGTGGCGGAAAATTAATTTACTGAAAATATCGACTACCCTCTCTCTCTCTCTCTTCTCCCCTTGCAGGTCCCCCCCTTCGCCCCTCAACTCCCCAGCAACGCACCCACTCTATTTTCTCTCTCTCTCTCTCTTTCTTTTTATTTTTCTCTACACCGTCGGTCTGTCTTCTCATTCCTACCGAAACACTATCGAACAAAAAAAGTTTAATGGTGAAATAATGGGGGAGGGGAGAAAGGAAGGCCCTTTCGAAAAGTTGGACTATGGCCAGTGTTGAGATGATGATATCAAGCATCCCATCTTTCCCCATTTTCCGCGAATTTTCTTCATTGTCGTTGGTTGTTTTGATTCAAGGAAAATAAAATTACGTTGCGTTTGTGTATATTAAAAATGTGCGCAAAGGAGAAGGATACACGAATTATGCGATAAAACGTTTTTTTACTTTTGATCATTAGAAAAAAAAAAAAACAGAAAGAGAAATTATTCTCATGTCGTATATAAATTTCTTTTTAACGCAAAATTGCTTACTAGCCACGAGATTTGTATGATTCTTTTTATGAAAATAATAATAATAATAATAAGAGTAATTACGTTCGATTACGTTGAAAAAATAAAAAGAAAAATAAAACCGTGTCTCCCTTTCTATCGTTCTTTTATTCAAGATTGAAAAATTATTAAATAATTTCACAATATAATTTTCCCATTTCTTTATTTCCTTTTCTCTCCATCCCTTCGTTACGTTACCATCTAAAAAAGAAATAAAAGTAGACAAACAATGTTTTTGTTATTCTTTTTTTGCTTCATTTAGAACGTTACGCGAAGTTTACAAAATACGTACGGTTTCTGCTGGATCGGATGGAATCAATTTTTTATACTTTCGGTATAATATATAATACGCGTCACACACAAACCCAAACACACACACACACACACACACACGAATGTACGTACGTACACAACACATATTGCAAACGTTTCTCTGTATTTCTATGGAAACCGTATAAAGGTATATAATAATTCTACGTTTACGAAACTTAGAAAAGCTCAAAAATTTTGCGGCGCCTGCCATTCGCGGGGGAGAGTTGTTGGGGGTGGGGTAGGGTGGGGCGAGATAGAACGGAAGCCAATTTATTCGCAGTAAACACTATTACCCCTCCTCCCCCTCTCTGGCCCCCTCCGGACGCTGGGAACGCGATTAATCTTCGCTTTTCCTCGAGCTTCTGCACTCACTCTAAAGCAGCCGCCATTGCAGTCGCCGGTTGAAATCTGTCGACGCTTCTGACCGAGAAAGTATCCTCTTCCCCCCCCCCTCAGCAACCACCCTTCTTCTGGTTTTCCTCTTTCTCTTTCTCTCCTGTCTATCTGTCTGTCAGTCTGTCTGTCTGTCTCTTTATCTCTCTCTCTCTCTCTCTCTCTCTCTCTCTCTCTCTCTCTCTTTCTTTCTATCTTTTTCTCTGCAAAACAAATAAATCTCTTCCGGATATGCACCACCACCTAAAACCTTTCTTCATTCCCTTTATACTTGTCTAGTTGGACTGAAAATTACATTTCCAAAAGTATGACTAATAAGTATCTATATATAATAATAATAATAATAATATATAATACATTAGAGTAGATTTGTATTTAATATGTTCGAATATATAAATTTAAAGATTAATTTTACGTATATTATACAACAAATTAAAAAAAAATGTGTTTCTATAATTGAATTATATTTATTGTTTTGGGTGGATCACGAAAAAGAAAAAAGAAAATTAATCTTTTTGTATAAGCGCGCAAAAACGTTGATACAATACATACGTATAATTAAATATACAAAAATAATTTGCGTTATAATTTTCACGATAGATAATTTACTTCTTTTATATCACACGCGCATAAATGGAAATCGATAAAAGGGATGAGTAATTATCATTTCTTGTGTTTCTCTTTTTTTTTTTTTTCTATTCCCTTTATTCATACGATATTATTACGAATTGAAGAAGGATATGGAAGGAAACAGTAATAAAAAATATAATTCACTAGACCAACGGGACTAAATTGAGGATAATCGGTGGTGGTAGGGGGGAGGTGGGTAAAGGGGGTGGGCCTCCTCGATTTCATCGAACGATCGAAATGGTCCGAAGAGGGTGACGAGAAATAAGACTTAAGGAGAAAACTCCGCAAGGAAAGAACGTTTAAGGGTGTGCCGAAGGAACG